AGAAAGCCTCTAAAACCTTTATAATCAAGTTGAAATTAGCCATGTTGTATACAAAAACTTAACCTCCCTAGATTCTTCTTTTATATATGAATATATATATATATATATATATATGTGTGTTTTTATTGTAAAAATACTGTACAGAGGGGTTACAGTTACATGAGTAAGGTAATGAGTACATTATCAACTGGGAATAATTTAATTTCTGCATTTCATTTCTTTGAAAAATGAAGCTATTCATATACATAATGTAACATTATGGCTAAATTAATCAAAAGATTATTGCCATAAATTACTTTATATGGAACAAGTCTAGCATAACTGAAAATGGATTCTTCCCTTCCCAAGGGAAATATCCTGAACGTTTTGGGATGCCATGGTTGCATATCATTTTCCCCATTAAAAAGGCTAGAGGGAAATATAACAGAAATGTTAAGTGATCTTTTCATATCCTTACTCTTCTATCAATAAAGTATTAAGATCATCTTCATAGCCCTCTGCAGTCATTATTTTTCTAGACTTCTTTAATTATGACTCCAGCAAGATCCATTGGCTTAAGGACTATGTGGCTCATTTTTACAAGAAAACGCATCCAAATATTCCCACACAACCAGCTACAGAACAATGTGAAATTGATGGCTGGGAGTCAGCAACGCTCATTGACTTCTCCATGCTTCTGTGCATAATTTACTATACATCATTCTATGTTAGCCAAAACCACAAATATTAATCCCTGAATGTACCTTGTGTTCCCACAGTGCTAAGGAGGTAGAATGAGGTTTCCTATGCTATTTATAATTTGTCTGCTTTTAAATCTATTTTTATGTTACCTATGTAATCTTTGTGAACTTCAGTGTATTTTTTTTTACTTTAAACCGTGTTGCTTTTCCCTCTTGGCAACTATGTGCTCTTACTATTAGTTCTCAGACAAATGGTCTAAATTCCCCACTAGCAAATTTGGATATGCCAGGAGAATGGGCTGAGTTCCATGAATTGCCTTTGAAATATGAGCACAATAAGATGACTTCACTTTGCGTGAGCAAGCCAACCAAATTCAGACTGAGGGATCCAGTCATGACACAGACAGTCCTTTCATCCCAGCTCTCTTCCACACTGTCATAAATTATTGCTGCTGGATCTATTGCCAGGAGTCTGGGGCCAATTTTCATGTGTAGGATTTGAGGGGTATCTTCAAAATCCACCCCACTCACACAACTAGCTAACCGCTCTCTCCAAAGCAGTGGCTTTACATCATGACATCTGCCCCCTTGCAACAATGCAATCATTTTTTTTGTAATCTGAAGGCTGAAAAAGACCGTCGATGTCAGAGAAGTGAAGCAGAAGGAGGAAGGAAGGGGAGGAAGCCAAACCACTTCAAAACCACTTTAAGAGTTCCAAGATGAATACAAAGTTTCCCTGAAGGAGAGACTGATTGTAAAACATTGTATACAGGTGTGGAAATGTCACTGTGCAATCTACCCCACTTGTATAGGTTATAAAAAATAATGTGTGCTAATAAAAAAAACAGCAAAAAAGGGGGGGAAATATTCTTGAAACAAAATGGGGAACTCTCAGCCTTTCTTACTTTCATCTGTGAAGTCAAAAATTTGACAGACTGAAACCCCTCTGACATCACTTTGTCAATAAAAAAGAGAAAAAAAGTAACAGAAAGGGTGGCTACAAAGAAAAACCATGCCTTTGTGAAGAGCAAATGTCATGGCTATTTAAGGAAGTCATTTCTTCCTTTGGCTTTGTTTTAAATGATTGCCGCTTCTAGTCTTCTTCATCTTCTTTTTATTTCCTTTATCTCCTCAAACTTAGATCTTATTTTTTAAAAACTGAGATGTGAGGGTCGGCAGAATAGATAATGACCCTCACGTATGGCCATCTGAACACAGACATGGAAGTATCCAGTCTTGTCCACCCTCCCTTGATGTAAAGTAATCACCTCCAGCTGGGTCAAGTGGATGTGGCAAATGTCCCATCTTCACATGACTTTGATGCAGCACCATAATGAACGTATTTCTTTGATGGAAGAAAGATGCTTCGTGAAATAAACTGTTTAAGGATTTGGAGCTGGAAACATGCGCTGCTTTGTTCTTTTGACAATTGAGTTCGCTATCTAAAACATTTCTCCATTTTGAAGGCTCTGTCTTTTCTCTTCCAGCCCCAGCCCTCCAGCTACAATAACAGGCCCATGATTTTTCTTAGATGCCAAGGTTATGAATACTCTTTTATTAATATTTTGCTTTGAACTTGCTTCTCTCTTGCAAAAGAAAAATAGCCCTATGTATTGCAGGGTTGACAGTAATAGGCAGAACATACAAATTGTTCTCCTAGGAGCAGTAAAATGTTCCAAAATGCACATACAAAAAAATTCTAAATACAACATAATGTTTATGGAACACTGCCTTTTGCAGCTATAATTTTCAAAAAGTAATATTTCTGATTGGCATGAATTATTCAGAACATATTTCAGAGATTAATATCAAAATTAATGCCATAAAATGTCCCCCTTTATGACCATGATTGCTTTTCTCATATTAGTGCACACTTTTAATGAGCAGAATTTTGTATGCAATTCCAAAGCAAGAGAACCTTCATTGGATTAAGCTGCTTTGGTTTTTACTTTTCCCTTTATCCCATTTCAACATATCCTCCGACCTCCTTTAAACATAATTCGACCCATGCCAACTCAACAGATTATAGTAGATCTCCTATTAATTGCATTCTGCCTTAAAAAGAGCTTAACATTTCAGCCTGTAATTATATACGTAGTTCTGTCCACTAATGTTTAGGTTAATCATTAAAACTTACTCTCATACTTGCTGTTTATCATCAGTTCAATCACTTATCATTAGTGAAACCAGCTCTTTTTCGGTATTAAAAAGAATGTCAGGGAACTGAACCCCTCTCAATGTTTTTTTTTCCATCCCAAAAATTAATCTCAAAATCTCAGCTCCCTTTAATCCTGCTTGGTGGCTTAGATTCTCTAGCCCTGGAACCACTTACATAGCTTTTTTTTTCATAGCCACAGAAATGTAAAAACAGCCATTGCTAAAGCAGAGAAATAATTCGGCTTAATCCATGTACTTTTGATGCCTAACAATTTGACAGGTGACTTATAGCAACAAATTTTATGAACACTTCTTCAGACTGATAAAATGACCTATAAAAATTTCCAGATACAATTGCTGCTTTGCATTTTGATATTAAGAATATTCTAGGATGTCAGATGCTCGTGGCTCATACCTGTAATCCTAGCTATTCAGGAAACCTAAATAAATCAGTTCAAAGCCAGTCAGGAAAGACAAATCCAAGAGACTCTTATCTCCAATTAACCATCCAAAAGAACCAGAAGTGGAGGTGTGGCTCAAGTGATAGAGGGCCAGCCCTGAGTGGAAAAAGCTAAGGAGAACACAAGGCCTTGAGTTCAAGCCCAGTACCAGCACCAAACAAAACAGAAGACTATTCTAGATCCTGGAGCCAGTGGTTCACATTTATAATCCTAGCTACACAGACAGCTGATGAGGACCGTGGTTCAAGAACATCCCAAAAAGAAAAGCTTGTAGATTCCATCTACAAAAAGCTGAAATGGTGACATGGCTCAAGTAGTAGAACACGAGCCTCGCAAATATGAGGCTCTTTGTTCACACTCTAGTACTGTCCCCCCTAAATACACACACACACACACACACACACACACACACACACACACACACAGAGGTACTGAGGCAATATTCTACAGTAATCCAGCAAACATGACCTTTACTACCAGATTACTTGGATTCAAAACCCACTGTTGTCACGTACCAGCTATTCAATCTTGGAAGAAAACACTTGACCACTGAGCATCCTAAAATGAGAATAGTGGTATCACCTACCTCACAGGACTGCTGTAGTAAAGGTACAGAAAGCACTTTACATTGGTAAAGGTACATAAAGCACTTCCAGTATTGTCTGGCACTTAATTTGCACTCAGTGAGTGTTAGCTCTTAATATTATTAGATCACAAAAAAAGAAACGTATCTTTTCTTACCTGGAAAGTGTATCTTAATGGGTACTTTCTCAATGACTTCCATTGTTTACATTCAAAACTGACATTCCTTCCCCACCCCGTGGGTCTGTCTCACTCTCTACCTGTCCTTGGAAGAATAAGTCAATAAGCATTGACTCAGTATCTTCCCTGATCAAGGACACAGAGAACAGTGGCTCTGACTAACTTCATTTACATGACAGGATTGACTTCTCAAATTGTTTATTGGATTGAGCTTGTTTCTATATAATTGCTTTCTATCAATGAATGCTTGATGCCTGTGCTTTTCCAGAAAAAATTTCAATAAGTAATTGACCATATTTGAATGCCCCCCCACAAATCCATAACTAGTGGGTTCCTATCATATTTTCTTAAAATTGATTCAAGAGGCCACACACAACAGGATTTTTCTGTCTCATCTCAACACAAGACCAAAGCAGAAAATAAATACTTTGTAGTTAAATTAACAGAAAGAGTAGCCAAAAATTATAGATGCAGTTTTATTATATCTACATAAGAAAAATCTACAATAAAAAAAAAACTCAAGAGCCAATGATGATTCTGTTAGTATAATGGTATTAAATCTTCCTTTTTTCATATACCTTTTCCAATGGATTTATTTAATGACAATCAAATATTACAATCAAATATTAAATTTTTGAAATCCTATAAAAATTGGGTCATACATTGAATGAGATACTTCCTTGTTTTTATGTATATATAAAGTAAAAAGAAAATAATAAGACATTTAATTCAGATTTTAGTTTCCAGAAAATTAACCCTAGAAAGATTTCTCAAAGAATTTTGGAAAACTTCAAATACATCTTTGCTTTGTATTACATAATAGATTTACAAATATGAAAAAAATCATAAAACTAAAATGAAAAAAATCATGAAACCATATGCAATTTTTATATTTTTATACTGAATCTTGTTAATGTTTAAAAGTATGATATTATCTCTAGATAAAAATCAATGTATAATTGAGGACAAGCTATGGTAGAAGGATTCACTGATCATGTACTCAAAGACCCCTACAGAATGAATCTATAAGATGAAGGTGTCCACCTTGAATTTATCTGGAATCAGATATTTTACATAATGTCATATCTTCTGAATTTGGTATAGAAGTCATTACTATGACTAAATTAGAATATTACAGATGAAGATACTCCAACACAAAGACTTGAATGATTTTGTTTAAATTATCAATGGTTGACTCATCCAGATTTTCTTCATTGTCATCCATAGTGTGCCAGACTTCAGGGAAAGGAGAAGTTATCAGATGCAGAATTGGGACACCTAATGAAAAAGAATTACCTTGTAATTCAGTACATCTCTCCATTCAGTTAACTAGAAAATGACATTCTTCATGTAGAAGGAATGCTATTGTATAGGAAGATACCTGATAACTCATCACCTCCGGTGCATGTCTTTATATCTTACCTTTGTACTTCAAAAGCATTGAGTCATAAAAAAAAACATTAATAAATTCAGTAAATAATCATAAGGCACCTACTGCCTACCAATTATGACTCTTAGAGTTCAAGTCATAGTAAAAAGGTCCCTAAGCATCACCTCCAGCTTTTTGGTGATTAATTGGAAATAAAAGGCTTACAGACTTTGCTGCCTAGGCTGACTTTGAACTGTAATCCTCAGATTTCAGCTTCCTGATTAGCTAGAATTACAGGTGTGAGCCACTAGCACCAGGCTGAACTTCCACTATGTTGACACAGGAATTTTCCAGATAAAATCAGAGCTACACAAAGGCAAGAACACAATCTAATTCCATGAATTAGACAGAAGAATGTCAGCAGGATACAGACTTTCAAAAATATTCTACAGCCAAGAGCTGGTGGCTCATACCTGTAATCCTAGCTACTCAGGAAGCTGTGTATTGAGGATCATGATTCAAAGCCAGCCTGAGCAGAAAAGACCATGTGACTCCAATTAACCATGAAAAAGCTGGAAGTGGAGATGTGGCTCAAATGGTAGAGCACTGGTCTTGAGCAAAAATGAGCTTAGGGACATTGCCCAGACCCTGGGTTCAAGCCCCAGAATTGGCCCACACACACAAAAAATTCTACTTATCAAGAAAAATAAAAGTACTCCAAAGGATTTAGAATGAGTTTCTCATCCTTCCACTTGGAAGCCATGAGTTGATATAATGGCTGTTTTAATTAATCAATTAAATTTAATGGTTCCTGCCTCTTCTAGAGAATTGCAAATCAGGAGTAGTAGAAATTATTACTAAGGCCTAGTGCTGCTGATCACTATTAAGCTTAGTTGTCACCTTAAAGACCTACAATAAATGTGTGAGGTATAGAGAGAAAGTGTGGAAATACGGACAACTCCCAGGAGTCTAACCCAAACAAGTGTATAAACCAGACCATTACAGCACAAGACAAAATTTGGAAAGGAGCAGTTGTTTTCAGTTCAATCCTCCATATTAATGAACAATAGTAGCTCTGTCGTTTTATTTGATAACCAGGAGAGGCTTTGTCAGGGGATAGTAAGTATTACATGCTGCATAAGAATCATATCTGGCATCAATACTGACCAGGTAAGGGAGTTTCTAAACTTCTTTGTCAGTTAATTTAGTTTAAACATCAACCTTCTGTCTTAAAGTCATATAATCAGAAGACACATATTGGTTAAAGCTTATTTATGTGTGTATGTATGTATATATATAAATATATATATGTATACTTGTTTTTAAAGATTGATCCTTATGCAAATTAATTTTATCTAATATTAAATCATCTAAAATATTTTAGACTGGCTAATATCATTGCTATATAAGTCTAGTGCTGTCAATCTTTTTGTGTGTGTGTGCCAGTCCTGGGACTTGAACTTAGGTCCTGAGTGCTGTCCCTGAGTTTGTTTGCTAGTGCTCTACCACTTGAGCCACAGTACTACCTTTGGGGTTTTTTTGGTGGCTAACTGGAGATTAGAGTCTCATGGACTTGCCTGTCCAGGCTGGCTTCAAACCATAAACCTAGCCTCCTGATTAGCTAGGTTTATAGACATAATCCATCACCCAGCTAGTGTTATCAGTCCTAAGGATGGTCTTAGTGATTCAAGATGCACCAATTATTATTCATGTTTAATTTTCTTCTTGAATGTATGTAACAGTTAGAGACCCAGAAAAGTTCACTGTTAAAGAAAACTATGGATGTCACTTGCAAACTAAATAAATTTTGAGAGTAAGCCATGGCTAAGAACAATGATCCTGGTCTAGTTTTAGGAGTGAGTAAGTGATACATAGTTTTGAAATATCAAAATGTACATATAATGTAATAATGAACATATACATGAATAGGTACATGCACATAATTACCTTTTCTTAAAAATGGAATGTGGTCATCTTGAATAATATTTCCATAACCAAAATTCTGGAAATACCGCCTCTCCAAAGAGTGATCCTTGAGCAAACCTAATTCATGGAGTTCCTGTTCTGCAAATGACAATTAGATAGTAGATGAACCTTTATTTTCATCTGATCAAGACTCAGGATGCATTCTTACTTAAGGAGTTTGAAATCTTATCAAGGAGCCATTATAATCTTAATATGCAGTGAACATGGTCATACCATGACAATAACAATCAGGGCTAACCTTGGGCAAGTACAGTTTGGAGTAGGAAAAGAGAATAATTGTGCAATGTTCTGGCCTTCAGGTGAGAATCTTAGAGATCTCAACTTCAACAGGACAGATTGCAAGTGAGGAAATCAAAGGAAAATGGTTTGGTAAAACTCAGGAGCATATGGTGAGATGGCAGAATGCTTTCACACTGCTTAGAAATAGCACAACTCTAGGGCTGGGAATGTGGCCTAGTGGTGGACTGTTTGTCTAGCATGAAGGAAGCCCTGGGTTCCATTCCTCAGCACCACATAAACAGAAAATGCTAGAAGTGGCTCAAGTGGTAGAGTGCTAGTCTTGAGCAAAAGAATCCCAGGGCCAGTGCCCAGGCCTGGAAAAGAAAAAGAAATAGCACAATTCTATCTTGCTCCAAGAAGTATGCATGTCTCATAATGAACTTTTAGCATGAAATTCTTGCCTCAAAAGCAGCCTCTTAGGAGGAGTTTACCAAAAAAAAAGTCTATCTCAATTTCATCTTTCTCAAATACCTACATGGTTTATTATGTATGGTTTGGTTTGGTTTGGTTTTATGGGGAGGCCCCATCTAGCCTCTCTGAAGCCACAGATAGCTATGTACTTGGCTTGGCCTAGCCTGGGCTGGCCTGTCTATCTACTCTCTTATTTGATATCTTCTTCAGATGGTCCTTTACAGATCTCTTTCTCTTGACTCTTGATCCACTTTGAAAGCTTGGAATGTCTGGATAAGGTAGAAAATAGAAGATTGAAAAAAAAAAAACAGGTGAAGAAAGGAAATGTAAAGTATATCTTTGGGTATCATTATAAAAACATAACATTCATCTTTAGCCAATATGTTTTGTTAGGTCAACTTTTCCCTAAAAATGTGTTCCATATGCTTCCCACAAGACTCTGAGGAAAATATTTTCAAGCCATTTCTAAGGATATACAAACATAAAATATAGTATTTTCTGCTTGCACTTCAAAACAGAGTTGAATGCAGAAAAATAAACTTACCCTACGAAACAAGATTAAGTAGGAATAACAAGTTAATAAACAGGGCAAAATGCTAGTATATTATCAAATCATAAATTTTGAATTTTAAAAGGTGACCCTTGTTAGTAGAAAGAAACATTTTGATAATTCTGTCTTCTTTTCTTTATGTATGGTGTATTCAAGTGAATATCTTCTGGAGGGTGGAGGAAAGGTTCAGAACTCAAGGGAAAAAGGGTGAAAAAGTACAGCAGTGGAACTCACCGGACACTGTGATGAAAGTCAACTATACAGCTTGTGAGTAGACAGGGAAAGGACAAGGACTGGGAAAGAGTGAGGGAAGGAAAGTCAATGTATGAAAGGACATGTACGCATTACCTGACTCATGTAATTATAATCCCTCTGTATACCATCTCTATAATAACAATAAAGTAAATTTTAAAAAAAACTTTTCCTTTTTAGTAACTGTGGCACTTACCAATTTTTTGAAGCCTATCAAACCATCTGGCAGAGTTTGGAAAAAAATTGGGAAATGTTGGGTTTCGGGCCCCAATTAAATCCAGTAAGACCATTAAATCCTATAGAAGAAAAACATTGTTTAACCACAGAGAGAAAAACACATTTCATATTCATCAATAGAGATAAACAATTAAAATTAAATCCATTTAATCAGTTAAGAATATAGAGAGCTATATAAATGAACAAGAGTTTTTTTAATAGTAATTTATAATAATTATTGTTGAAGTACCTTTTTTTCCCCCTGCCTGTTGTGGGGCTTAAACTCTGGGCTTGGGCACTGTCTTGAGCTCTTTTTTTATTTTTTCCTCAAAGCTAGTGTTCTACCACTTGAGCCACAGCACCACTTCTGGGTTTTTCTGTGATTAACTGAAGTAAAGAGTTTCATGGACTCCCCTGCCCAGCCAGGCTGGCTTCAAACTGTGACTTTCAACTCTCAGCCTCCTAAGTGGCTAGGACTACAGGCATGAGCCACCGGCGGCCAGTAAGGTGAAGTACTTTTTAAAAATGTGAATGAATTACAGTGTTAATTCCTTATTACTCCAAACGAATACTACTAGGAATAAACTAGAAAGGAATCTTTGGGGTCAGGATTGGTGACACATGTTTGTAATCCTAGCTATGCAGGAAGGGTAGAAAGGGGAAAAGCTTTTCAGGATCAGCTCAGAAAAAAGTCGATGTACACGATCTCAAAAACAACACTGGAGACAAGCCCAGTAGTCTTAGTTATTAAGGAGGCTGAAATGGGGAGGGTTGAAGCTCAAGGCCATTCCAGCCAAAAAGTTCATATGTGCCCATTTACAACCAATACAAAGCTGGACACAGTGGTGCACCCAGCTATACAGAAAGCTTAAACAGGATGATCATGGTCCAAGCCAGACAAAAAGTAAGGCCCCATTAAAAAAATAAATGCCAAAAGGGTTGACAGTCTGGCTCAAGTGTAGAAGGTCAAGCACATGATCCTGAGTTCAAACTCCAGAGCCACAAGAGAGAGAGAGTCAAAGAGAAGACAGGAAGGAAGGAAGGGAGAGATGGAGGGAGAGAAGAATGGAGGAAGGAGGGGGGTACTACAGTACTAGCCAACCAGGTCTCTCCTCCTTCTCTGAACCCTTTTCAGCCACTTTGGCTCAAGTGAATGAATAAGTGCTGTCCATAAGTCCCCGCTCCCCGCCAGGATCAGCTGCAATGGAGAGGGGACAGAGATGGAAGGGAAATTCTAACACAAGGTCTGTTAGACAAAATCATTCACCCATTTGACTCCCAGGGCAAAGGTCTATAACAGGGCAAAGCTCAGAGATGAGTGAAGGTGGAGTGAGGGAACTATTGATCAGTTTACAAATGAAGAGGGTCAGAAGTAAAGGAAGAACAGGAAAGAAAAGGAATGTTCAAAGCTTGAGCTCCAGGTTCTAAGCTTAAAGAAGAGAAGATGTAAGGACTGAATAAAGACAAAACATGGAGAGGGAGAGGCAGGAGGAGACTCTCAGGTAGGTTAAAGGATTAGTGATGGGTTTGGGCCCAGAAACAGGGATGTAATTGAGGCTGGGTGTTACACTCACATTTAGTAATAGTGGTAGGATTTGAAGACAGCATGTGAACTTCTCCACCCTCATGTGAAAACTGTCATCTCAAACCAACAACACAGCAAAATATCAAGTACACACTGGAGTCAGCATAATTCTTCAGTTGTAAAGCATTATAATTACAATACCCTAAGAAAAATCCCTCAGTCGCACGCCCTCTTACTCCATTTCCGAGTATCCTATCCTCCTCTGCTTTTGTAATGCCTTCAAAAAAAAGATTCAACTCATGCCTATAATCCTAGCTACTCGGAAGGTTGAGATCTGAACAACACGGTTTGAAGCCAACCCAGGCAGGAAAGTCCTTGAGATTCTTCTCTCCTGCTCAGAAAAAAAGTCAGAAGTAGAACTGTGGCTCAAGTGGTAGAGCGCTAGCCTTAAGCAAAATGAAGCTCAGAGACAACACCCAAACCCTGATTTCAGACCTCAGGATGTGAAGAAGAGAAGAAAGAAAAAGAAAAGAGGGAGGGAAAGAAGAAAGGAAGGAAGAGCGGGAGGGATGGAGGGAAAGATTCGAACTTCTACCTTCACACACTACCTGTGGAAATAAATGTTCTCCACGGAGCCAAACTGAATCTGATGGCTCCTTAATCAGATTTCACAGTACTTTAATTAAACTCATCCAAACATGGCTTCTAACCCAGAATCATTCTTTTGAGCTCTGGGATTCCTCAAAAGCCCAGTGCCTGCCAAGGAATGTTCTATTATAAACACCATTCTGAAGATTTTGTGACACCGCTAGGTCTCAGCTTTAGCACCCTTCTCTTTGGAAGCTACAGAGCCATCAAAATTCCTCAGACTAACCATGCCATGCAGTTGGTTGGTGCCCCTGGCTCCAGGTGGGTGTGTGGTCGACGCCATCTTCGTAGCTAAGTGCCGAGACCCATACAGGGAGTCCTGAGGAGACCAGTGAAGGAAAGCCTCTTCTCCATCAAAAAAAATTAGCTTCAGTGAGAGATCTGACTTGGAGCCTGAGACATCCTAGTAAAAAAAGAACACTTATTTTAATGCTATGATGAATAAAAGGAAAATAAGCACCAAAAGCTTAGAAAGGAAGATACCAAAGCAAATGAAACCATACCAAAATTTATTCCACACCACTTCCTCTTCAAAAATCACCTCTCCTCCCACAATCATCACTCAAATAAATCTCACCTTCTCCTACTGCCTCTAAAAATAGATGCTTTCTATTTGTTCACTCTTTTTTTGTTGTATCTGTATTCCATTAGTGGGGCTTGAATTCAGAGTCTCTTTGTTCTTTCTTGGCTTCTTCTGCTCAAGGCTCGCGCTCTACCACTTGAGCCACATCCGCTTTGGGCTCATAGACTTTCCTCCCCTGGCTCACCTTGAACCTTGATGCTCAGATCTCAGACTCCTGAGTAGCAAGTTTTTCAGGCAAAAGCCACCTACCTAATCCTAGAAAATTTGTAAGTATAGAAGTGTTGTGATAGACACTGTAACATGCCACCCAACATTCCCCTCAGGAGGATGTGTGTGCCCAGCATCTGGGAGAGTGTCAACCACTTCCAGGTTTGTGCCAGCTGCCTCTCCCACATCCCACGACCTGTCCACAGACACTAGAGGCTATCTAAAGGGATACTGGCCTTCCAGAGCTCCCCACAGCGTGGCTGAGACTATCCCCAGTATAGCTCAACCTCTCCCTCTGTCTAATCCCGTTTCTCTCTTCCTCCAGCCAGAAGTGTTGATCCAAGGCTGCTCCCCGCTAACTGACCTGAATGGTCTTCATCAGGTGATGCTCTTCATCAGGAAACCAATCTGAAACAACTGACGATCTTTCTTGCCCCTCACCTGATTTAAGTCTGACATTTTTCATTGAATCTCAGTTTAAGAATCTGCCCTAGGAGTGCCACAGAGATACAAAGGAGAATAATTATAGCAGCTTACTTGAAAGAGACTACACTTCAGTTGGGCTAGGAAAGACAAAACACATGTACATGAGCACAGAAAAAAAAATGTGCCAGGGTTCACATATGCAACCCATGTTCTTTGGAAACTGTACAGAAGAAGGGGTGAATCTCTGGGGCATCAAAAGCTGCATGAGAGAGAGAAAGCATCTGACAAGAAACTGAGAAGGGAAATTAGATTCTGATCAGTTTTAAACTTTCCACTTTTAACTTCCAATATTTTACATTACTTCTTCTGCTACTCTAAAACCCCACAGTTCTTGAGCCCACCCTAATTCCTGGTCTGTCAAGTCCCTTCACTTTTTCACAGTTCTCCACCTCCATAATAACCTAGCTTCTCTCTGTGTCCTGTTTAGTTCCAGGCAATCATACTAATACTAATTACTTTCTTATATACACCCTCAACTTACTTGCCCTCTGCCTCATCAGGTCAAGGGCCATGGCTAACTCTATGACCCTAGCTACAAGGGAGGTAGGGAATTATGGGAACATGTTTCAAGGCCTACCTAGGCCAAAAAAAAAGAAGTTTAACCAATAGCTGGATAGAGGCACATCCCTGTCATCCAAGCTTCTCAGGGAAGCAAAAATAAGAGGATTACAGATCAGGGCATAAAAGCAAGAGCTCAGTCTTGAAAATAACCAACACACACACACACACACAACACATACACACACACAACACACACACTCATTCCTTATATCAAAAACAAACATGAAGTCATCCAGCCTTGTGCCTATTCTTGTGGAGAACCTAGCTAGAGAAAATAAACCACCACCCTGTTTGACCTTGCTTAAACATTCATGACCACAAACCTTAAGCTGGCCTTCTATGTTAACTGGGAGTCACACTGTATTTTCTGGATCCATTCACTTGCAAACTCTTCTGGTATTTCATGTTCTTCCTCTTTCTAAAATTCCGCACCTCAGTTATCTCCCTCCCAAATGATGACCTTGATTTCTTCATGCCATGCTCATTAGCTGCCAGCCTCTATGTGCTCTAAATCCCTTCTCCTCTGATCTGCTCAAGGACACTACTCTAATAAACACCATTTTTTCTTATCATCACCTACAAATATGCTGTTACTTCTCTTGTGTTAAAATGTTTACTCCATTATCTCCACGAGCTACTGCTTCTTTTTTAAATTCCACCTATAGAAAAACTTGCAAGAATTGTCTGTTCGGTCTCCAAGTCTTGTTCTTCAACCTATTCTGGTCCTATTTCATCATCTCTATCCACTGAAATTGTTGTTGTCATGGTCACCTCTACATTGCTAAATTCAAAGGTTAACTCAAAATCTTCATCTTTCTTGACTTGTTGGGAGCAGCTGACAAGACTGATAGCTCCCATCTGCAGATATTTTCCTCATTCAGCTCCTAGGACAACACAGCCCTTCTACCCTAGCCAGCACTGTTGATTCCCTTCATCTCTTTTCCCTCTTAATGTTAAAGGCCATAAAGCTTGTTGCTTGGTGCTCTTTGTTGTTGTTAATATCTATCTCTGAGTCTTTACAAAATGTGTATGTATGTATAACATATGCATACCCACACATGTCAGTAATTCCAAAGTACATAGCTCGTTGTTTGGTCTCAGTCCTGATACCCAATTGCCAAATGAACATCTCCACACAGATGTTTAACAGACATGTCAAATATAATGTGTCAAAACTCAATTTCTGATATTCTTCCTGAAAGGATCATTACCAACAGTCTTCCCCAAATAATTTGTTGTTAACATCATCCTTGCAGTTACTCAGATTTTTTTTAAAAGCCATGGAGGATTTCCTCCATGGATGCTTCTTACGCACACACACATGCACACACACACACACACACACACACACACAATCTAGGTCATCTTGTCTTTGCAAACCTATTTCCTAACTGATCCTCACTCCATGCCTTTTTTCATTTCATTCCTTTTTTTTAACCCTCGTATATCTCCAGAGTTATGTGATCAAACTTTCCAGATGCTTTTGTGCCTTGTGTGTCTTGACTGACTGTTTCTCGTGTTTGTGCCCTTCCCAGAGCCCTTTCCTTTGACTTGCTCACTTGGCCTGCTGCCCACCTGTCTTCTCAGGTCTCCTTTCACTATCACTTTAGAGACTCCCTCTACCTCTTCTCTGTGGGAGTCCCAGTGACCACATCCCAGATCCCCTTTCTGTATTTTTACTTGAATTTTGCTGAGGCATAGCTAAGCAACATCTAAAGTGAAGCCATGCATGAAAGTGAACATTATTGATACCTGTACCTGAAAGCATCATCATTCTGGTCTTATATTTAATTCAACTGTGTATGGGGATTCCAAGATCATTATTTATTTTAAATACTTAAGGCACAATTGTATTGTTTTCTACACATCCAAAGTTTCTATTGAGAAATCTAGTGTCATTTTTATTCTCAGTATTTTTTTTCATGCCTGTTAGAATTCCTAGAATGACTATGCTGTTTTTATTCCTTTTTCTGGAAAAGATACTTTTTCCACTTTAGAATTCAGCCCTCTTATAAGTGGGGTTTTTTTTATTTCTAACTTCCAAGAGCTCTTTCTCATACTGTGGTTACTCTTTCTGAATACTCTTATTTTTGTTTCATGAATGTAATTGCTCCTCTGATTTCTCTAAAGATATTTAAAATACTACCAAGTTATCTTCTGCTCCTTGTACTATTCTATTTCCTCGAACTCCATTGTTCAATTTGTCTCATTTGTTTGCTTGCTTTCTTTCATGATGGAGACTGTTCTCCAATGTCTGGTCATACCTGAGTTCACTCATGTTAAAGAAGAAGGTCCAAATATACTGATTAGACATAATAAGTTCATTGCTTTTGCTACTTGTAAATCTAGTGCTCATTCAGCATTTTCTTTGAGGATCTCTCAGTGTTCCCTTCCTGCAATCTTTTCTCTGACATGGCTCAAGCTCTCTGGACAAAGATCCTTCAGTTCCCTATCAAATGGGTATACGATTATTGTTGTCTTTCTGCTGCTAGAAATGATATAACATACCAAAGATTTCAGTGTTCACTGTGTAGACTTCTACCTAATCTCCCTAATTTACATGAACATCTCCTTAAGGCTCTTTTTTTCATAACTGGTCCCAAAGTCCAGAACAACATTGTTCAATTTCTCTAGAAATTTCAATAGAGTCTGGCATGGATTAGGAATCTATATAAGTATTTCTTATACAGACTTGTGGCAATGGGGTACAGGACTAGAGTTTGAACTCAAGACTTTACACTTGCTAAGCTGACTCTCTACCCCCTTACTCCACACTCCCAGGACTTTTTTGCTTTAGTTATTTTGGAGGGTCATTCTTACGTTTTTGTCTGTCACCAATCTTGGGCCAAGATCCTCTTATCTACATTTCTAGTGTAGCTGGATACCAGCTTTATAGAGCCATGCCTAATCCCCTATGCAGACTTCTAACCCCTCATGCCTGCTCCCTGCCTCACTTCTGCCTTTCTAAGTACGTCATTCATCTAGTCCCTGGGCCTTTCCAGGATTTTGTCAGGAGACCTGATGGCCTCTTTCATTCTCACATACTTCACCAGGAAATATGACTTCTATCCATGCTAGTAGGTCATTTGCTTTCTCCATCTACTACTGTTTGCATATTGTGGTTCTCATTAACACATGCACCTTCATTTATTCAAAGATGAAGCTTCCCTGATTCTTTTGGGGTGATATCATTTTGAAAGGGAAGGAAGGAAAGGAGGGAGGGAAATAAGGAGGAAATAAGGAAAGAGGGAGAAAGGAAGGAAGGGAGGAAGGGGAGAAAGAAAGAAAGAGAGAAAGAGAGAGAGAGAGGGAGGGAGGGAGGGAGGAAAGAAAGAAAGAAAGAAAGAGACAGGAAGGAAAGAAGGAAGGAAGGAAGGAAGAAAGAAAGGAGGGAGGGAAGGGAAGGGAAGGGAAGGGAAGGGAAGGGAAGGGAAGGGAAGGGAAGGGAGAAAAATGCCAAGTGCTGGTGGCTCACATCTGTAATCCTAGCTACTCAGGAGGCTGACAACTGGAGATGGCCAGCCTAGGGAGGAAAGTCTATGAAACTCTTATCTCCAATTAATTACCAAAAAGTTAAAAGTAGAGCTCTGGCTCAAGTGATACAGCACCAGCCTAGAGTGAAATAATAATACCCAGGCCCTGAGTTCAAACCCCAGGACTAGCACAGATAAAAAAGGCTTTTATCATCTGAAACAAAGCTATTTTTGTATACTATGCTTAATACTATGTCTCTAGACAGAGAATTAACATCTACTATTTTAATATCAAGTGTTTTGATCCATGAACACTGGATATCTCTCCATATTTTAGATCTTTTTTTTTTTGTCAGTCATGGGGTCTGAACTCTGGGCCTGGGCTCTATCCCTTAGTTCTTCAGCTCAAGGGTAACACTCAACTTGAGCCACAGCACCACTTCCAGCTTTTCCTGCATATGTGTTGCTGAGGAATTGAACCCAAGACCTCATGCATGTAAGGCAAGCACTCTACCAGCCCTTTTAGGTCATCTTTAATTTCTCTACATAGTGATTCTTACAAGGTGCCAGTGGCTCATACCTCTAATCCTAGCTACTCAGGAGGCTGAGATCTAAGGATTATAGCTCCGAGTCACCAGAAAACCAGAAGTGGCACTGTGGCTTACAGTGATATAGTGCTAGCCTTGAGAAGAAAAGCTCAGGGACAGTGCCTGGACCCTGAGTTCAAACCCTATGACCAACAGCAACAACAATAAAAATAATTATTCTTATTTTTCTTTCTTTCATTTGCCCACGTCTTTGCAGTTAGTTCTGTGGTTTGAATTCAGTGCCTTACACTTGCTAGGTAAGTACTCTACCATTGAATGATGTATGCTGCTCTGTTCATTTTTATTTTGTTTTTTTAATTAGGCAAGTGTTTTAATTGTATTGAGATAGCTTTTTAATTTATAAAGACAGCTCATTCTACTTTGAATCTCCAATGACTTAAGAGAGCATGAAGCAAAAGATATACCTGTACAGCAGGTGCACACCCAGGATTAACTCTGTATTAAGCAGTTAAACAGATTTCCTCATTATCAAGGATGCAAGGTGAATACTTCAGTGTAGACAATCTAAGCTTTTAAGATCCCTTAATGCTTCCAAAGGTCTAGCTTGAAATCAGACAGTATAATCATAGGATGTGAGGACAGAATGAGACTATTGGGACCAGAGGCATTCTGCCCGTGCTAGTGTAGAGGCAAAAGAATGGCATTTTTAACTTCTACAGCTTTAAGTTTTAGGGTGCCTCACTGAAATTTCAACAGCTGGGTGACTCCAATTATCAATTATACTTACTTTCTTTCATTCTCTTCTCTTAACACCAGTTCATTTAGAGAGGAATGGACTGCTGTAGATACTGATCCAGAGTCTCCTGAGGCAACTTGCTCTTTAGGGTTTTTTGTTTTTCAGAATTGGCAGGAAAACAAATACAGCCTTCAATTTCTAGTAACTCAGGCTTGTACTTTGAACCTAGAAGAATCTGTGTAGCCTAATCTGTGAAGGTCTTTGCGGTAATAGTATAAATGCCTGTTATCAGGGTTTACATAGTCTGTCCATGAATTGTCTGCCATCTTTCTTGATACAAGGTCAGAGAATGGCACAGTAATAAAGCTCCTGGAATACATAGCCTCTATGGGTCAACTGGGGGACAATAGACCTAGGCTGAGCTTGGCTCTGCTTCACTCTGCAGTCAGTGAGGTTGGCTCGATTCCACTTGTCTCTTATCTTCCTGCTGGGACTGACAGACCAGCCAGCGCATGCCCTTCTCATGGTGATGGCAAAGACACAATTCAGTAAACACATTTCCAGCTTCATGTCACATTTACTAACCACACATTGGCCCAGGCAAAATAAATAGCAAAGTCCAGAGTCAATGGTTGAGGGAACACAGCTGACTCTAATGTGAGTGCACAACAAAGTTATAAGGCAAAAAGATACGGGTGTGTAGACACAGTTCTACTAACAAAGAGAAGAGGGAAAGGACTAGAAGAGTTAGAACAATAATCCAGGCTACTGTCCAGCCCTCTCCTAGGGTACTTTCCACCACCACCTATTCCACTCATGATGGCTGAAGAAAATAAGTTTTACTACCAATTTAGTTAAAATATAATTGCAGGAGGGAAGGGAGGAGTGTAGTTGTGGAGATGGAAGGGAAGGGATGGTAGTGGAAAAACAAAGGAAGAGACAACAATGCTTGATAAGAAATGTACTCAGTACCTTGCTCATGTGACTGTAACCCCTCCTCTGTACAGTATTCTCACAATAAAAAAACTTATTTTAAAATATATATATATATATATATATAAAATTGTAAGAAGAAATCTGATACTCTGCAAATTTGCATTCAAAAAGAGTCCATTTTAAAAAAATTATTCATGTTGTCACTTACCTCTAGCAGGTAAATTAAGAGAACATACATCTCTAATTGAGATCTCAGATTGTCTAATTAAGGATCCCACCCCAAAATTCATTCAGCCCTTTCTGTTTCTGGCTACCAGAAATACTTCTTTCCATAGAGAAAGCAGTTCACCAAGAGAAGACACACTAGCTACACAAAATTGTGCCTTTAAGTTATACTTCATTTTGTTTCATGCTTATACTAGCAATATAAAGATGAAAAATTAAGATGATGTATCAGTTTCCCGTCACCCAACAGCTAGGGAACTGTGAACGGTAGAAGCAGGGCATGGGACAAAGGCATTATAGAAGGCTCAGGAAACAAAATTCACAAAACAGAAAAAAAACAGTGAAAAGGATATTGAGAGGGGGAAAAACAATTCTTGCTTTCTTCAAGTTAACATATCCAGCAAAAAAATAGAACCAAATATCTCTATTACTTCCATTACAAGCTAAACTTTCAAAAAGCCCACAAGAGGGTGGCTATTTGTTGCCTACGAACAAAATGTTTTGTTTTTGCTTTGTCTTGTTTGCTTGGTTATGAGTGGTATCAGCACAAAATGTCTTCATCTAGTTTAGCACTTTTCCCCCCAATATACCCTTAAGAACACAGACACTGAAATAACATCTGAGAGTCCCAGAAGTATTTTGAGCTGAGAACAGAACAAAAGCTCTGCTCTGCTACATAAAATTGAGCTGAGATTGACAGATAATAACAATAATGCATTTCTGTGTCAAGCTTTTCATCTTGATATGTCTGAATTACCCACTCTCTACTTTGGAGCCACTTTTCCTGTGGCTCCCTCTCCTCAACTCAAGTCATTATCTCTCACATCAGAAGGTCATGATGTTTCATGACTATATAAACAAGAAGAAATAGCACTGTTTTTCAACCTCAGGCCTGCACCAACTTTGCTTCTTCATTTGGAAGGAAATGATACATTTAATCCAATACCTATTCAAGGCTGACTAACCAGGTGTCAATTAATGAATTCACTGCCATTTGTTTAGGTTGAGTGCTTATGAAATTTCAAATCGTGCAATCTTCCAATAAATTTTCCTCTTATTTTATAACAAATTACAAATTTGCAAAAATGAACCACAATGCTTTGGTTTCTAAATGGCCTTCATAGCCTCCCCTAAGGATTCCAAGACTCACTCTGAGTTAGTGTTCAGGTATTTTATCTTAAGAGTCAACAACAAAAAAAAAGCAGATACCTTCAAGGAAAGGAGTTGTTTGTCTAAGGCACGAGCTAATTCCAACAGCATGGCACACGGCACAGCTGAATCAGTGGCTCCTACAAACACCCTGTTGTCCCAACGAGGAAAGTACTTGGAGTCATAGTGGCAGGCGAGGACCAGGTGTCGTTTGGCAGTGGGATTGAGGGTGCTGATGATATTTGAGAAAGACCGGTACCCATAGGGTGTCCTACTCAAGAAGGTGTCTACTTCCAAAATCCAGTCAGCCTGAAGTTTCTGAAGGCGCTGCATGATGTGCTGATCAAACAAAAACCAAAGTTTCAGATCCAAGCAAGCTTTGCATTCATTAACTATTTTTTTTTCTTTTAAGACCAAGTATTGCTATGTATTCCAGGCTGACCCAAAACTTTTATATAACCCAGGCTGGCCTTGCATTTATGATCCTCCTGCTAGAATTACAGGCATACACCATCACATTTGGCCTTGTGTTTCTAAAAGTTTATGTGATGCCTTTCAAGTTAAGATGTACAGCATGTACAGAATGCATGTACAGAAATATCACAATGAAACTCCTCTATGTAATTAATTTATGCTAATAAAAATTGTTATAGTGCATGCTTATTATACTTATTAATAGTAATAATTTTCTATTATCATTTTTAATTAACAGGAATCTTTGTATTAAAAGGAAAAACTAACCTTCCTCCTACCAACCTATCCCAGTCAATTTTTAATATTAATCAGTGCTAATAGTTTGATGTAGATCTTTCCTTTTTGCTTAGAGAAATCTATATTAGCATAGAAACACATAATATATTTGGCAAATAAGTGTGCATTTTTAGGAAAACATCCTACTTTTGATATTTCTAAGATGTTAAAATGGAATGCTTAAGAAATCAGATATACTCTAAGCTCTTCAGAGCAAAGAACCACTAACAGCAGCTCTTTTTGAGCCAAATGCCTAAGAAGTCCTACAAATTGTTCACATGTGCTAAACACTAACAGAAGATACTAACATGACCAGCTAAGGACAGTGAATAAAGGTTCCAAAACAAGAGGACAAATGGGGGATGTTTATAGTCCCTGCCCACTCTGATCCATATTACATATCAAGAAACTTTCTCTGCATCCAAGGCAGGTCTAAATCCACTGCTAATGCTTGTTTTTTAAAAAAAAAAAAGGCTTAAAAATAATCTACCTGAAGCCTTTGGGCAAAACAATGCTTCTGGAAGGAAGCAGTAAGTAGAAGAAAGACTTCAGGGACTGGATGTATCTCCCTTAAGTACCTAATCTTCATGGTATGAAAAGATATAGGTGAGTTCACTGCTGTTTCTTTTGCCCTGCTCATCCTTACTTTTTCTTGACCTTGTTTTTCTTTTCTTCTCTCAACTATCATGTGGGTCTCTGTAAATTGTCTTTTAACTCAAATCAGAAACTAACAATCAAATAAATTGGCAATTTATCCTGCAAGTAATATCCAACAAGGATGGACCTTGCAATGATGAACAAATAACTTACAATAGCTGGAAACAAATGGGGATTTTTTTCCCTCTCCTCCCAAGGAAATACAGGATTTTCTATCCTAGCCAAGACTTGTGTGGCCTGCAGCTTGTTAATGTGACATGACACGTAGGCAAAAAAAAAAAGGTGGGGGGGAGCTTAGAAAAACTATAGCAGGAAACGTTGGGGGGGAGGGGGGAATGAACAGGACACTGAGTCTACAATCAATCATGAAAAGCCAAAAGTACAAAAGTTTTTTAAATTAGGTAGACTTTAGCCAGCATCACATTGTATATGCTGTACCTTATCTTTCTTTTCCAATACTGGTTTACATATTTGTCTTTTCATATCATCAGAAGAAATATTTATGACCTTTTGGAAGTCAACATTCCTACCTTGCCCATTTTTTAATCTATTTTGTTATTCTCCACAGTTCTTAGAACTCTGCTCCCTGCAGATTGTCAGTAAATATTGGTTGATTGTGATGGTATATATGGGGTGATATGCAAAGAGTATATAAAGCTATACAATATGGAATATTAGGCCTGTGAGTCGAGAGAAATCACTGCATCTTAAGCTTTTCTGACCAATGTGAAAAATCAGTTATTCTGGACTGTTAAAATTTTTTCCATAAAAGAGTGATCTTAAAAAAAGTAGCAAATACTCCAAAACATCTGTTATCCAGATGATGAGATACTTCATCAAATGGCTTAACTACTAGTAGCCTGCAGAATAAATGAGGATTTTAAAAGCTTATCTGTTAGCATTACTCAGAAGTTTCACACATACTTATTTCTCAATTACTAACAAGATCTTGGCCATAATTTCTGATGTCTACGTGCACACAAACATCCACAAAAAAATTAGCAAGTATCCCCAAAAGAGTTCTTCCTGAAGTAGGCTTTTTATATTCATTTTTTTATTTATCTTAGCAACTAAGATAAATAATCTTTATAAACAATGGAACTGGCTGCAAAATCTAATTAGGTCACCAGGACCTCTTGTTGTTGTGCTTTTGGCTTTCAGATTGAGACTGCAAATTCCCACTACCAGTCTCCAAAGGAAGGTCTGTAAAACATTTCTCGGATCACTAGTATGGCCCTCAAGGGCAAAGCAGCTATGCTTCCCTGACTCCATGGGACAAAAGGCTGACAGAGAGGGGGGTTGGAGCAACCCATGTGACTCCACTTCTGGGTATACCAGTTAAGTTGGGAGCGTTATTCTAGGTTAACATTAGTGAATGATCCTGGGTTGAATTCAACTAAACTTAAATTCTAATTTCCAGATTCTGAGAAGCGTGAAACCAGTAGATCAGGGTTGTTTGGAAGAAACAGGTTCTCTATTATTTGTACTGTTTACAAATACACTCTGGTCAGGAGGCTGACCACTGCTATTGTGGACTTCAGGGTATGTTTTCTTGGTTCCATTATACATAAGTATGAAAGCCAGCTCAGGAGGCTGGCTTGAGAATATACAATTCCATGTTCTAGAATATAAAATATAATTTTACAGTGCATGAGACACAGAAGTTTAAGCACTGCCTTGAACTAAGTACACTAGGCTAATTGTTATTGAGTTAGGTGGAGAACACAATTTCTCAAAGGAGAATGAAGGCCACTGTACAGTGACTCTTGAACTTCCAACTAACAATTGTCAAATGCCATTGATGTTGAGGTGTTAGGGGCAAAGAAAACTTGATTAGGAGTCCAGGAATGTGTTATTGAAAGGGTGAGACTTAGTACCCTTTCTGATGTTGTACCCCAGACAGCACTTTCACACAAAAAGTAGTTTAGATTAACTGGTATACTTACATCAGAATAGACATTTATTTTCAGGCATATGACTTTCTTGGTCTCTTAAGACAATGAGTAACAACATGGTCTATCTGAAAGTTAGACATCTATGAGCTTCAGCTAGGACATCCCTCAAAGTAAAGCAAACTATTCAATAATCTTTAGGTTTATGGGTTTTATTCTCACCTGACGAGCAGCATAGCTCCCTGGGGATCCTGGGTATCGCTCTATCAGCAAGGGTCGTAAGTCATGTTGCCACATATCAGAAATACTGGTACCTTCTGCAATTTGCCGAAGAGATGATGAATTCAGAATAGCTGGTTGGTGATAATTCTAAGAATTAAATAAGATTATTTATCTGTAACTTTATAATACATGTAAGACTTAGCCTGACGCATTCATAATACCTTAAATCTAAAAATAAAGAATTAACTTTTATGTCATATGAAGTAAATTAAACTTCTATATCAAACTATAAAAATGGTCCCATATATCTAGCTAGCTAAACAAAAACTCAGGCAAATTATTTTAAAAAGAAAAATTACCAAGGCTTTCAATGTGAGAATTAATATTTGTATTACCTGTGTAACTTTCAATGACTTTTGTGAACAGCTTTTATAGAATTGATGTTTAGGAAGTGGCGCTGTGGCTCAAGTGGTAGAGCGCTCACCTTGAGTTGAAGAGCTGAGGGACAGCGCCCAGGCCCAGAGTTCAGGCCCCACAACCGACAAAAAAAAAAAAAAAACTATATAGAGCACTCAGAATTGATGTTTAAAAAGTAACAGTCAGGCCAGGCACCAGTGGCTCATGCCCATAATCCTAGCTGCTCAGGAAGCTGAGATCTGATGATCTTCATTCAAAGCTAGCCCAGATGGGCAAATTCGGAGTTTTAGTGCTAATTAACCAGCAAAAAGTTGGAAGTGGAGGTGTGACTCAAGTAGTAGAGTGTCAACGTTGAGCAAAACCTGAGCCATAGCTCAGGACCAGAAGGAAAAAAAGTAACAGTGTTGGGTCCTTTATCTAAAAAAAAAAAAACCCTAATATTTAAAACACAGCCACCAACAAAACAATCTACTACATTAGTAGTAGATTGCTTTAAGAGGGCAGTGTGGTGCTGCTTTAAATGAATGAGCACCACTGTCAGAGAGTAAGACTAGCTGGATTCAAGGCTTATAGTTGCTCCATGCCCTTGGGTAGGTCTGTTAACTTCACATTTCCCCAGAAAAACTGATAAATAAATTTGATCTGCATCTAATATTTCTCTATTATGTTAAATAAAATATACCATTAAAATTAATTTCACCTATTTAATTTTTTAATTGTACAGGGATTTGAAATCAGGGCTTCCAATTTTCTAAGTAGATATACTGTTGCTTAGACCATGCCTTCAAACCTACTAAAAAATTTAAAATACCATACTTACTAGAAAATTTTAAATCGCCTTATTGTATTATCTATTTCTGCTGGACAGCACTGACCCAGACAATTGTTGCCATTTCTTGCAACTGGACTTGGATGATTCTGTAAAACCAGCTATAAAGCAAAAGTTTTTATCTTCACCTAATATTATATTAATCTTAGCAATAAAGTATTAATATTATATTAATCTTTAGATTCTTAGGTACATATATATTAATGGAAAATTTTAAAAACTAAATAAATCTAACATTTGAATTTGCATTTAAATATTATATAATACATATTATAGTATATATTCTTTTTCTGCTTATGACTGATATTCTACCACTTGAGCCATGCCTCCAGTCCAGCTTTTCTACCACAGTGACTTGAACCTCAATCCTCAGATTTCAGTCTCCTGAATAGCTCGGACTACAAGCAGGAGTTACCAATGTTCAGCTCAGGATACCAGAAATGATGAATCATTCACTCATTACATGTTTATTAGATACTCATTGACTCATTGATGGACTGTATCACTCCTTAAGGGGAAATGAATGGTTCATCAGATGACTTCTTCCTTAAGGTGAATGATACTGGTGACATGAGGGCTTTGAGTTCTTTGGAATGCAAAGAACTCAAGAAATGAGGAAGCCTTGTCTGCCTTACAGTTCCTTTTGGGACTAGTGCAAATTGTGCATATTTAAATAAATCATGCAGGTAGTTCCACTAATATGTAAGCCACTTTATCTACATGGTGAAATGAGAATATGTTTATTGCTTGATTACTCATATTCTTCTCCCCTTTCAGATTGGCCCTATATCACTGTCTAATACATACTGTGCAAAAAGCATAGGCTGCTGGACCCTCTCAACTCAGCTTTCAAGTCAGCACCCATCTGTCCAGGCTAACTTCACTAAAGCTGCCTCTCCTCATCTGCAAAATGAAGTTTACAGGATCCAAGATAATCAGACCTAAATGAGCTACTATGTATAAATTGCCATGTTAAATATTCCGTGTTAGTTCTATTATTTCCTTTGTCAACCACTAAAGAGTTATAGAGTGTCAGACCTAGAAAAGATTCTTAGCACAACCTCTTAATTTATATTAGTGCAAACCAAGGTTTATGGAAACAAGCTATTTCCCAAAGCTGTAGGAGAGTTCCAGGGAAATCCATGAAAAGATTCCTGCTCTGTGGGTTCTCTATGCGGCACTACTTCTACCCTGCCTTATCTCTGTACTTCCAGCTTACTGTTGGCCATTGATGCTGTGCCTGGATATATTTAAGTTTCTGTTTGTTTATTGGTGGTACATTTTAAAGTATATCTCCCTAATAAATTTGTCACTGACATCTTTAATGCCCTGTACCTCCAAGGTCTAAGTGCTTACATCTTAAAACAGCCCTTGACTAAAGAAAGTTTAAGCTAAAAGATACAACAGTAGAAATGTGAGAATGGAGACCAGAGGTTTCAGACTTGCATGGTTAAGACATTAAATAATTATTTAATGTCTGTTTTTCACATAAGGTGTCTGTTGCTAAGTTTTGAAGCTCTCTCCTGCTTCTTTCTCTCTCTCTCCAGAGCTATATTGGGCCTGGTTCTGATTGAACAGTCAGTAATATTGGACAAATTCATCAAATAAGGCATCAACAGATGAATATCTTTCTAAAACTGTCTTTGCTAAGATAGTATCTATAGAACAAAGTAAAATTTGCATTTTTGACATCAATACCAGACTATTTACATGCATAAGCAAATATAACAATAGAAATGATAGGTGACTGCCTGCTACAGGGTCCAAGAGGTGTCCTGGTTCAATGTGCGTAGACTTCATTCTTCTTGAATCTCTGCGCTTTCCATTGCTTCTATTGAGAGCTGGGTTGGCTCAGAACAGTCATAGTAGCAATCAACAACTATTGTATCCAGCTGTAGCTCCTTTCCTATTTATTGTCCATTATTATATCCCAGAAATCTAACTGGTCACTTACGTCCTGTAAAAGAAATGAAGCTCAGGCTGGGAAAGTGGCTCAGTGCTAGAACGCTCACCTTGCATGCCTGAGGCCCTGGGTTCGATTCCTCAGCCACATAAGAAAAAAGAAAAAAGCCGGAAGTGGCACTGTGGCTCAAGTGGTAGAGTGCTAGCCTTGAGCTGAAGAGCTGAGGGACAGCACCCAGGCCCAGAGTTCAGGCCCCACGACCAGACCCAAAAAAAAAAAAAAAAAAATGAAATGAAGCTCATGTTTAAATGAGTGGTTTCTGGAAGTTTGAGAAAGTTTATTAAAAATTTAAGACAAAGCTGGGTGTCATTGGCTATAATGCTAGCTACTCACTAGCCTGAATCTAAAGATGGCAGTGTGAAGTCAGCCTGAGCAGCAGATTCTTAGACTCTTATCTCCAATTAACCAGGAAAAAAAAAGCCAGAAGTGGAGCTGTGACTAAAGGAAGTGATTTATTTGGCCTGATTTTAAGTCCCAGTACACATACATACACATTCATGAGTGCATGTGTGTGCATACACATGCATGCACACACACACACACACACACACACACCACAAAACTTAAGACAAAACAAGAACAAAAGTAATATTCCTCCAACATCTTTAAATATCATAGATACTGCAGATGAAACCTGGTTAAAAAATAGCACCGAGAGAGAGAGAGAGAAAGTTCAGCAGAAAGGTCCATGGATGCTCATGAACACAGACACTTGTATCTGCTGCTGCTGCTGCTTCTTAACCTCCTGGGCTTGATCATTTCATTCACACATTTCACTAAAAAGGCTCATCACTCCCAATCTGAAAGGGAAAAAAAAAGCCCAACAAAATCACAGAGACACAAGCTTCCCAGCCAATAATAATAAGGGAAGACTGCACTCCATTATTTACCTAAGCCCTTCTATTTTATATGGAAAAGCATTTGACTTCCCCATCTTAAACAGCATGCACTCAATTATAAAGGATTCTTGCTCTCATAACTCAAATATAAAATTCTATATGGAGATTAGAGAACCAAGTACTAAGAGGAGAGACTTGAAAAATGGCAACTGAGCCAAAAGTGTTGAGCCCAATGGTTAAAAAGCAACCCCCAAATTATTGCAGGCTTATTTCTGTTAAAAGGCATGAGACCGTTTCTCTTGGAGTAGGGATTCTCAGAGGAATGAGACTGTTACAGGCCTGGCCTTCTCTTTTCACCCAGGCAGAAAGGACAATAAGTCTGCTCTGGGTGACAAGAATCTTTCAGCTAAAAATGTGTGAACCAGAAGCATCTCCTCTCATCTGCTTTTTTTTTTTTTGGTCCGTTGTGGGGCCTGAACTCTGGGCCTGGGCGCTGTCCCTCAGCTCTTCAGCTCAAGGCTAGCGCTCTACCACTTGAGCCACAGCGCCAGTTCCAGCTTTCTTTTTGCTTATGTGGTGCTGAGGAATTGAACCCAGGGCCTCAGGCATGCAAGGCAAGCACTCTACCACTGAGCCACCTTCCCAGCCCTGCATCTCCTCTCATCTAATCACACAGTGCCAGGCCAGAGGGGTTTTTAGTTACATAATTTGGGGAGTTGGCCAAGCTTGCAGAAAGAGCTGAGGTTCAAAACCCATTGAATTAAGAAAAGATCATGTAGAAGTGCAGCCAATTCAAGTTTCCACCCTACAGGAACATACCAGACAGTCCTCAGATTAACACCTCTCCTACCATGCAAATTCAGTAAATTCAACCAGTATTCACTGAAAGTCTGTGTGTCAGATTCCACTGACATTACTAATGCAACTGGAAAAGAGTTGGAAACAGAATAATCTGATGTCTTTTTCAAATGCAAGCTGTCCTTAAAATCAGAGCAGACCAAGCTTTAAAAGCAATCTGGCATCCAATCCCAGCTTCTTTATTTACTAGCTGTTTTGAAAAAGAGGTTCCTAATGTGGATATCCTAATGGATATCATAGT